TTACATATATATATGTATAGATATTAAATATATTTATATTACATATATTACATATATATGTGATATTACAAATAATCCATCATATTACAATGGGTTAAATTATGGGCAACAGTGAATGTGATTAATCTATGGTCACTGTTTAGGAACAAATGAAGAAGTTCAATTACATGAAAAGCAAAAAGAAAACAATCTATTAATGTGTTTGCATATTTTCATAATAAACATGTTTTTGTGATATTTAAGAAAGACTGGCTTTAATAGAAAGTCTTACTTTTCACATAGGCAGTCTTATACAATCTGGGTTATTTATGTATTTCTTGATACATTTTTATATGAGAAAAATGGTTAAGATTGCAATTTATGAAAAGATATAATTTGAATATGCAGATGGACAGTAACATTGATATAAAAAAGAGCTTGCTACCTCACGTATTGTTTTAAGATAATAACTGAATAAGCTACTCTTAAGACTAGATGAGTCAATTTTTATGCATTATGAAGGGGAAAATATAAACCTAAAAATTGGGTTATTCATCTGTTTTGAATCTTGATCAGATAGGTCACAAGACTGAATAGAAATTATTAACAAGAAAAAAAGTTGGGTTTGTGTTACAAATGGCAAGTATTTAATATTAAATTGCTAATGCTTCATAATGACTGATTAATGTAGTGCTTTTTCAGAAGACATCATAACTGTGTATCTTAAGTCACTAAAACAGTTTTATTTTTTTACGATGTGGTATTACATAGAAGATTCTGAAATTTCCACCACTAGTTTGGTGCTTAATAGTATCCAAAAGCTTTAGTCATTAATGAAGAGAAATTATTAAGAACTCAAATTAGTGCACAGCTATATAAACCTGTAACTTATTTCATTAGGTTTTGGTGTTCGGTTTTTTTCTCAAATACAAAATGACTTAATTAAATATAGTCTGGCCTAATAAGTACAATTTGACAATGTAAGGGCATCAGTGCAATGTAAAACTAAGGAGCTAAAGAGAGATACTTTTGGAAGTGCAAGTGGAACCCTGACTGTGACTGAAAACTCATTTGTGTACAATTTTTTATGCTTTAATTACTGTCTAAGCATGCAATTTAGCATCATTTCAAAAGGAGGTGGTTCCTGTTAGCACTTGCATACTGATTGATTCTTCTTGTTCATTAGCATGTATAACCCTTCCAAGATGTACCCTTCATGTGTTTTATAAAATATCTTAATAGTTGCTTCACTTGAACAAGGAGGAATTTTTATCAGCCAAGTGGATACTTGTAATACTTCAGTTCTAATGAAGCTAAAGCAATATATCCTAATTTATCTGTTGATAAAAGAATTTTCTCAGAATACTTACTCCTTCAAAAAGTTTAAATGTTGTTGGTTTCTTTTTTAATAATTGAGTATATGAGCCCATGCTCCATTCACCACCATTTATGCAATACCATTAACATAGTGTAAGCATAAAACTTGTTGAGACACATATTTTGGATTTGGCAAGCAGCCCTAAGGAAGGCATGGTCAAAGGGAAAAAAAAGAAAGGGAAAAAAAAAAAAAAGAAAGAAAAAGCTTTTTTATTAGATATAAATAGTTATTTCATTAAGTTTAACTGTGTTTCAGCCCATCCATTTAATCAAAACAAAAGTTTCCAAAGATGCTGCAGCATACTTAAGGACATTTAGCTCAAAATTAATCTGAGTGTCTCTATCAGAGGCTGCTCTTAACTCAAGTGTGTTCCAAGTATTTCGATGGCTAAAATATCTTCTTTGTATAGGCATAATGAGGGTGTAGTTTTTACTTGGGTTCCAGGAGACACAAGTAATACCACCATAATACCACCATCAGCAAGTTATTTGCCCCAGTTGAGAAACTAAAGACCTTTAATCTTCCTGCCACTGTCTGCTCCATTCCAGAGAATCAGGTAAATTCAGCACTTCTTATCATCTCTAAAGTACTTGCCCTGGTTACGTGAAGGGCCCCTCCACCTGCACTTTGTACTGCCTGGCTGCACACTGGAAGCTTTTTAGGCAAGGCTTGTTACCTTCCTTTGCCTGTAACTCAGGTGCCGATACAGTTTGATGGCTCTGCACCTGTTAACTCTAAGGATGAACAAGTCTGTTACTGAGAATTATGAGCATGGAAGAGCAAGGAATGTCATACAGGAGCAGTAAACCTACAAAGAGGGGAAAAAAAAAAAAAATCTAACTTTTCTAGGGAAAGGTAATTGATTACTGTCTTTAGTTCCTAACACACTCCGTAGGAACAGGCTTGTAGTATGTCATGCCTGATATATCATGAGATATACAGAGAGAAATTAGGGAAGGTGACCTGAACTGCAGGCATGACAAATGCTGTTAGAGCTGAGACTGGCCCTTGCTGTTTCTACTGTAAAGGACTCCCTCTACAATGTCAAGGTCTGTTTCTATTTACGATAGCTCAAAATCCACACTTAGTGTGACTTGCAGAAGTCAGATTTACTTTTCACTTGTAGGTGTGTGTGAAATGGAGATGATAAAGACCTCATTTTGCAAAGTCTTTACGAAATAGTAGAAAGTACTATGTAAGAGTTGGTTGTTATTACTGTTACTTCATAATTTTCATAATATCTGATACAATAGCATTTGGATCTTAGGCTACAGGTCTTCAGTTGTGTCTCTAAAAACCAAAATTTCTAAGCAAGGTTTCTTATAAAACGGAAATACTATGTATTCATTTGTTATTAACTTTACTGTTGGATTCTAAGATTAGTGGATGAGGATGCTACTGTTTTAATGAAAAAAATAATGCTCTATGTTTTATTTTTCTATTTTAGTTATTTGGATGGAAATCAGTTTACCCTTGTTCCAAAAGAGCTTTCCAACTACAAGCATTTAACGCTCATGTAAGTAGTTTTAGAGCAACATTCTCTACTGGAATGAAAAAAATGAAACCAAAACAAAAAATCCTACTCCATTATACCTGAGTTTAGTTATAAGAAAAAAAATATATTTTAGCAAATATAATACCCAACCACATTTTATAATGGAGGATATTTTATTCTACTTATTATGTCCTACATATAATATACTCGGTCACGTTTTATAAACAGGGGTATTTAATTCCAGTGATTACATCACAAAGTAAATAAGCATAAATTATAGTTAAACTGAAAAGAGATGTAAGATCTTACAAAATGTGTTAGGGTAATACAGCATTTCATTACGCAGCTCCGTAAAGGCACTGGAATTATTTCATTTACAAAATGAATTTCATTCTGCAATATGCTTCACTCCATGGTATGCTTCACATAGGAATAGCACATACAGCTGTTGTAAACTTGAATGTAACCCCTTCTGTTTCTCCCACAATATATGGTTTAATGACTCAAAAAGAGAGCTTGTCTAGAACGCCTTACTCCCAACAATATTGCTGACTCACTCTGTGATTTGAGGCAAATCACTAGCTGCTCTAAAATTTATTACCTCTACTTCATGAATGATTTGAATATGATTTCTGTACCTTGTAAGGGTACAGTGAGAGAAACAGGAAGACTGTCGATGTAAATGGCTGTAATTCCATGGCCTTTGTTAGGACTATAAATTTATACCAGCTGAGGTTGAACTGTGTAACATTCTGAAAGCAGTTTGTGGTTTCATTATAATCAGAATAAAAAGTGGAGGGGAGTAACAAAATCCCTTACATTTCTTTTTGACTGGGTTTAGAGCTTAGCTGCAAAAATTGAAAATGGTTTGGCGTTCAAAAACAAGAACTTGATTTCCTTTATTTACCTCATGCTAGACAAAAGTGGTCACGGTCACCAACTTAGAAAAAACACGTTTCCAAAACTTTTTGTATTTTGCAAATAACATCAGGAAAAAAACCCTTGCAATATTCTCAAATGTATACAGCATAGAACCTATAGGAAATCTTTGTGGATTGTTTAGGGAAGTTATACAAAATCTAACTTGCAGCACACAGAAACTATAAACTTTGGAACCTCAGTACAAGAAGCAAGCGTATAGTTTGGACTGTGTGCAGTAACAGTATCAGTGGGGACTGGATGTATGTCTAGAGATGAGATTAATTAGAGTCATAGTGACAAGGCTTCCATCACAGAGGTTACGTACTCATGGTCTATTTTTGACACACACAGCCAGAAGTCATACAACTTTACCTCCTAATCAGAAAATACACACAAACAATTTAGCAGACAAATGTAATACAATAAATTATAGATGAATGGTAAATAAAATGCAAATAAGGTGCATAATATGTATCAGACCTGTGGGGCACATTATTGTAATCTCTTCTGAATGTACCCTCATACTGCTGTTATGAAGTTGAGAATGTTCCTCAGCTGTGTTTGGAAAACCAAAACACTATGCATAGTTCTTCTGTGGCCAAACAAGGAATTACATGAGAGTCTCCTGAGTTCCAGATTAACAAGGGAAATTGTTTATTTCTAACTTTTTCTTTCCCTTTTGAATAGATTGCTCTGTTATACTTGCCTAATATGTTTATTATTATGAGTCAATTGTCTTACATGCTTTCATGAAATTTCAAGGGAAGAAACGTGTATATTGCATAGCTATTCAACAGTACTCAAGTTAAAATATCAAGGTCCCCTCAGAAACAAATGCTGTATTTCACCACAAAATACAGTAAACAATAGTGAAATAGTCAACATAAAATTAAAACTAAAGCACAGTATGAGAATAAAGAACAAGCAGTATTCACATTTAATGCAGCTTCTTCAAAGCTTCTTTGAAGCCACCGTCTTTGAAGCTACCAGCATACTACTCCAGCTTTCATCATACTTATGCTTAAGATTTTATTCATTAGAATATTGAACAACAAGAAAGGTGTTAAGGCTTTCTCTATAAATCTTAGATAGTGTTCTTTATAATAATAGCTGTGGGCTTTGCTGTCTTCAGCATATAAGTGTTAAGTAGAGTATTAGATGATATTTACTCAGGTGTCATTAGGGACATGACTAGAATGATTTCTGCTTTAAAACATCACTTTAATTTCTATACTTGGGTTCATGTAGGATTGCATTATTAACTCAGTAGCATGATGGACATTGCTGTTGTATAAGAATGCATTGCGCTGCTTTTTCATCTGTGTTGAAATGAAAATGCTTTTCATTGATCAAGCTAAACACTTGCTGGGCTTGTATATGGCATGTGAAAATAAAAATATGTGCTGCTTTAAATATTGATACCAATGATGATACTACTTCTACTAATAAAAATAATGTGTCTGTCAGTTTAACTTACAGTGTTTCAGGATTGGGGCAGTCATTTTAAGGTCTGAATTTCTGAATTTATTTTTTATAGAGATTTAAGTAACAACAGAATCAGCACTCTTTCTAATCAGAGCTTCAGCAACATGACTCAGCTGCTCACCTTGTAAGTTTAAACATGTAACAGTGACTCTTTGGAAGCATTACAGTGGGGTTTTTTTTGTCTTGGAAAGAAAGGGCATTTAGTTGATATTAAAGCTTGCTTGTTGTGGAGGCTGTAAAATAACTTGTTTCCTAACTAGCTATGTGTGCAAAAGCTGGTTTTGGACAAGTTCTGCATTGTTTACTGAATGGCTGATATATTTGCTGACAGTATTTTATATATTTTCAGAATTCTTAGTTACAACCGCCTGAGGTGTATCCCTGCACGGACTTTTGATGGGTTGAAATCACTTAGGTTGTTGTAAGTATTAATTTTTAACCATTGCTATTTTGCAGAATTTTTATTTGTGTACAACAGATAGCAAATCTGTAGGAAGTTACTAGATTTTAAAACCTACCAAGTATTTTAGAATTGATAATTACGTAGCCTTAAAAATCTAAGTGGCTTCATTCTGAGGAAGTATACTCTCAAAATGCTGCACAAAAAGTTATATGACTCTGGACAACATTGTATATACAGACATACACTTTTTTCTTTTCTGCTTTTTAATCTTGGCTGTACTTCTTTTTTTGTGTTGTGTTCTTCCTTGTTATAAGCATTAAAGTCTAACAAAAATGCCATGCATAAATTCCTCAGTATATATGAGGGGGTCTTGCAGTTGAATTTTGAATATTTTTATTCCAACAATAAATTTATTTCTTTGTTGTTTCATTTAATATGGGAGTATTTCCTAAACCTTTACATCATGGTTTACTGCTGAAAATCAATAAAATTACTTTTTGTTCCAAGAAAACTTTCCATTTTACCACTAGGAAAAACATGGTTGAAAGGGCACAAAAAGGGACAAAGGAAAATAAAGAACAGTCAGTCTAGTTTACAGTTTCAGTCATTAAGAAAAAAACCACAAAACTGCAAAAACTCTTTCTTAAAAGTCCCCAGCAGAATATGTAATTTTTGCCTCCATTTGGGTAGTTTGTAGCCATTTAATACCTTAGTTGGATTAACTGTCTCAAGCATGGCATTATTTAAGTGTGTTTCCATAATGTCAATTATTTTATATAAATATGGATAATTTCAAGAACCATGATTCTATATGTGCTAGATATACATGTAACTGAATGAATTTATACAAAAGGAGAGATACTTTTGTGCAGGTTTGCTACAGGAGAGAAAACACTAGTCCTGGTAGCAATGCTTAATAAGGTCTTTAGTTCTTTAACTTTACTATCAAATTAGGGCAACAACCTTAATACTTACATTAATAAACAGTCAATGTCTGTATTTTCCATGAATCCCTGAAAGATTTTTTAAAAAGTATGAACATAATTAATGGGAATTTCAGGGAATTGCTGAAAAAGTCAGAAATAGTAACTCTTCTGCCATCCCTAAATCCAATCAGTACTTTGCAGAAGTGTGCCTACTTTTACCGACCTTTATTCTTTCAATTTAAAAAGAATCATTAACATTTCTTATGAAAATTCAGGATGAAAAAAATCAAGTGATGAGTAGGCTACCAGTTAGAGCTTAAAAAAAAAAAACAACAAAAAACAAAAACAAAAAACAGCTGGAAACACTGAGGAACTGGAAGAAAAAAAATGTGAAAAGCTGAAAACTGTTTACCAAAGATGAAATTTGCAAAGTTAACCTGCTGATTTTTATATATTATTCTGCTTATTTTCTTTTTAAGGTCTTTACATGGAAATGATATTTCTGTTGTTCCTGAAGGAGCTTTTAATGATCTTTCAGCATTATCACACCTGTGAGTATTCAGATGATAACTGTATTTTTATGTTACGTTTAGCAAATTTCATATAGTTGGACAAAGACAAAATGTGAAGGCCTGCTCTGGAACAAGCTCATGCATCAGTACAGGCTGGGGACTGGCCAGAGAGCTAGCAGCTCAGCAGAAAAATCCTGGGCCTCCTGGTGGGCAGCAAATTGAACATGTCTGCCACATGCCCTTATGGCAATGAAGGCTAAAGATGCTCTGGGCTGAATTAGAAAGCGAGCAGCCAGGTGACTGAGCGTAGTGGTCACTCCCTTCTGCTTGGCCCTCCTGAGGCCACATCTGGCATATGTGTTCAGTTTCTCCAGCACAAAGCAGATGTGTATGAAGCAAGGTAGGGAGGTGGCTGGATCATATGAGCTGTGAGGAGAGGCTAAAGGAACTGGGCTTATTTAGCCTGGAGAAGGAGATGCCAAGGAGGGACCTAATAGTCTTTAAGCCTCTAAGGGGATTACAGCAGTGATGGAGACAGATTTTACTCAGAGGTGCACAGTAAAGAATAGGAGTCAACAGTCACAAGCTGCAACAAGGGGAGTTTGATGGAACATAATGAAAAATTCTTCACTGTGAGGGTGGTTCAGCTTTGGAACAGGTTGCCTAAAGAAGCAGAAGAATCTCCATCCCTGGGGATTTTCAGAGCTCAGCTGGACACAGCCCTGAGCAACTGACTTCGAAGCGAGCCCTGCTTTGTGCAGGAGGTGAGACTAGGTGACTTCCGGAGTGCCCTAAATTATTCTATGATTCTGTGTCGGTTAAGTTGACATTAAATACATGGCATCTGATTTCAGAACATCCTTTGAAACAATACTTTTCCTGTTTTTAATTTTCAATGGGAACCTAGATTAGAACAAGTTACCTCTCTGTAAACCTCATTGTGTTTATGGATAGTTATTAAATCTTTGCTTGCGACTGAGGAGTAAGTTGCCTAGTGCCTTTAGATATATCTGGTTTTTATGTTTCTGAACAGCTGCCATTGTTAAAAACTTAATTATCTGCTTCTAGTTCAGTATTGGGCATTTACATTTAATCTGCCATTTCTCAGAAATTTGATTATACTGATTAAGCTTTGTCATTGATAATTCTTTCAAATGCTACTATTAATCTAGCTTATCTGCATGAAATATCAGTAAAACTTACATAGATTTGATTGTTGTTGCTGTTATTTTTTTCGTAATGGCTACCAGTTATCCTTGCTAACATTCTGATTTTAGCAGAGCAATTGTGTTATCTCACTTCAAGCTGACATTCACTCCTGCAAATATGGCGTGGACAAATTCTGGGTATTTCTCCTTGCTTGGGAAGTTCCCTATCACTAGGTCTGCTTTTTGTTACTACTCTGACTTAAGCCTGACTGAACAAGTACATATAATTTTTTGTGTTCAGCTGGAAATATGTAGCAATAATTAAGAGAGGGCTTCCTGTTCAGTGTGGCAGAAAAGAGTGTTTCAGCAGTGGTAGTTTCTACTGCCTTTGCTTGACAAAGATTTTCTTGTATCTCTAGAAGACCCACTGATCCAAAGCTGTGGAACAATCTGAAAAAAAGTACTGAAACATCTGGAGAAGGAGGATGTTCTAATACTGCCATTTGACAGTGTGTGCACATGTCAAGATTATTTGTTGAATGTTCTATGATTATTGTATTTCTTAAAAGGAATATGAGTGCATCTTTATAGAATAGCACAATGCTTCTATCCTCAAATAACTACACAACATATCATTGTTCTCAGAGTTTTAAGAGTATTTATAGTTTCTAGCAGAGAAAATAGACACTTAAAAAGCCTTTACAGAAATTAATTCTGAAAATCTCTAGCTAAATTTTTTTTTAATTAAAAAAAAATCAGATTTATTTAAAGAAATGGATTTGCTTTCATAACAGGGCAATTCTTATGTAACTAGCACAAAGCTAGGATAATGTACTTTTATTTACATATGCAGCAGAGAGCTCTTACAGAATTCTGCACATAGCTGTGAGTTCGATGGGAGAGCTCCAAAGAGGAAATAATTAAATCAAATTTGGAAGCTTAGAAACAGATGGTTTGTACCAGCCTGGGAGCCATAAACTGAAAAGGAAAAATATCAGGGTGGAACTCTGTGGGGTTGCCTTGGCTGCTTTGGAAGAAATACTTTATTCTTGCTAACTTAATTTCCCAGTATCAGTTTCATTCTGCTGATGCAGAATGAATGATAGCATCCAAACTGGATACTATCCAACCTCTGGATGCCATCCAGAGGGACCTGGACAAGCTCAAGAAGTGTGAACCTCATGAGGTTCAACAAGGCCAAGTGCAGGGTATCGCACCGGGGTCAGGGCAACCCCCGGTATCAGTACAGGCTGGGAGAGGAAGGGATTGAGAGCAGCCCTGCCAAGAAGGACTTGGGGATACTGGTGGATGAAAAGCTGGACATGAGCCGACAATGTGCGCTCACAGCCCAGAAGGCCAACTGTATCCTGGGCTGCACCAAAAGAAGTGTGGCCAGCAGGTCGAGGGAGGTGATTCTGCCCCTCTAGTCTGCGCTAGTGAGACCCCACCTGGGGGGGGTCCGGAGTCCTCAGCATAGGAAAGACATGGACCTGTTGGAGCGGGTCCAGAGGAGGGCCACAAAAATGATCAGGGGGATGGATCTCTCCTACAAAGAAAGGCTGAGAGAGTTGGGGTTATTCAGCCTGGAGAAGAGAAGGCTCCGGGAACACCTTGTAGCAGCCTTCCAGTACATAAAGGGGCCTTGTAAGAAAGATGGGGACAAACTTTTTAGCAGGGCCTGTTGCGACAGGACAAGGGGTATGGTTTTAAACTAAAGGAGGGTAGATTTAGATTAGAAATAAGGAAGAAATTTTTTATGATGAGGGTGGTGAAACACTAGCACAGGTTGCCCAGAGAGGTGGTAGATGCCCCATCCCTGGAAACATTCAAGGTCAGGTTGAACAGGGCTCTGAGCAACCTGATCTAGTTGAAGATGTCCCTGCCCATGGCAGGGGGGTCGGACTAGATGACCTTTAAAGGTCCCTTCCAACCCAAACTATTCTATGATTATATGATGATTATATGCAGCTGATCTTGGCCATTACATACCAATGGTGAAACAAAGCTAGTTAGTATTAGTTCTCCAAAGTTTATACATAATGCAGCTAAGAACAGCTAGGTTTCTGGACCAAGTTTACTGCTAAAACTGTTACTTCTTGATTTAAAACCCAAATCCAGACCCTTCAGGCTCTTAGGGTCAATTTGGTGGAGGGAGGGCAGGTTTGTGGTTTGAAGGGTTTTTTGCCAACCTGTTTTCTCAGTTCTCTTTTTAAAAGCACCCATTTAAAACTTTATTCCCTTTTTGTTTGTCTGTTTTCCATAGGGCTATTGGAGCAAATCCTCTTTATTGTGATTGTAATATGCAGTGGCTATCTGACTGGGTAAAATCAGAATACAAAGAACCTGGTATTGCACGTTGTGCTGGTCCTGGAGAAATGGCAGATAAACTTCTTCTCACAACTCCTTCTAAAAAATTTACTTGCCAAGGTACTGGTTTTTTTTTTTCCCCTTTGAAGTGTCAGTTTTGAATTGTTACAAATAATTGAGCTGTGAAATAAGAGTCCTGTGTGCTCTAAATACATTTATTATAGAATCTTTACTCAGCCTTGTCATCATTCCTCCTCATACTGAGGGATGTAGCCATTGGTTCCATTCAGGAACTGTATTTATTCTAAAGACCTGAATGCTTATTTCTTTTCAAACAGTAGATGGAGAAAAAAAAGTCTTTGGACTTGCAGTACAGTATTCCTCGGTACATGGATGTACATAGGTATTTGGTACTTGGTACTGTCTCAGTCATGAACTACAATTTAAACATCTACACTTCCCTTAGCCAAAGAATGTCCTTTTCCTTCAAACTGATTACAGTGAAAACTGTAAATCCATCCATAATCCTTGCAGTCTGCATTATCTCAGTGGTATGTAGCTGCATCAATATGTCCAGAATGCTTTCTCTGATATTTCAGAAGAAAGCATTAAAAAAAAAAAAAAAAAAAAAAGTACATAAAGGGATGTGATTACCTCTATAGAAGTCTCATTCTAAAATGTTGTTATATGGGGAGGTTTCTCAGGGTTTGGACCAAGAGTATTTATGTCCATGTTGGTACCAATGTTGCTGGCATTTATATCATGACTTATATTATTGTCTGTTAGTTCCTAGGTGTTTTTTCTGAACCTTACTATTTTTTTATTAGAAAAGTACCTTTTTTACTCATATGTGAGAGAGAACTTGGTTTGTTTTACTGTTTAATCTTTCTCTATTTCACCCATTTTTCTCTTCTTAAATATTTTGAAAACACAGAAAACTTCTGCTGTAGCTTCATTTTTCATGGTCCTGATTTAGAAACATTGAAATCCCCAACTGGGAAAAAAAACCCAATAAAATTTGTGTGTGCTTATACTTGTAAGCCGTTACTGAGCTTGTAGTTATTTCTGAGGCATCAGATAAATATGATCTTAAGTCTTGTATAAGTAACTTATTCTCACAGTCTAGGTAATCTTGAAGCTATTTTGACTTATTCATCTGTTAATGTATCTTCAAAGATGAGCTTAATCGCTTCATAATTTCTTCCTTAAAAAAGCGATGGGACTTTGTTGGCGATTGTCTCATCCAAAGTTGTTCTTTACTGCATGTTCATCCTATTTAGTCTTCTCTCCTTAGGCTTTCTGTCAAAAAACTTTTTTTGTAAACAAAAACCACTGGAACCCATTTTCTTGCGTGTGATGCCAATGAATTGTCTCTGCCTCCAAATCCTTCTTGCAGTTTTTCAACAGTACATCTCTGAGGACATGCCAGTGTTCATTGCATATGACACTCATCTGTTGCAAAGTCCCGTAGTCTGATTTTAGATAGGACATTTGCTGGCCAATCTGATCGTTTTCTCTACAAGTATCCACTGAACATTATTGCAGATATGCTCTTATTACATATCTTGTAGGGATAGAAGTGAAAGAATATTTGCAGAGACAAGAAGGAATTGTTTGGTTATTTTCCAGCTCTGTCAGTTTTAAAAACTGTATCATCCCTGACTATAATCATTGTTATGTTTCTGTCAGACAATCCAGAAAGTATATCTTACTCCCTCTTGCCCATCAGAAAATATCCTTTATATTATTATGCAGGGTAAGAACTGTATTTGTTTCACTTCCAAGAGTGGAGATCTGGTATTATGGATACCTTTGAGAGAAAATAATTTTCCTGCCACTGTCCTATGAAGATGCTCATAATTACAGATTGCAAATCAGCAGCTTTTCAATGACATGATGGCCCTGTAAGACATTATGTGTCTGTTACTAAAAGATAAGTAATTTTATCTTTTGCTTAAAAATTAACTGCTGAATAGAAATTAGGAAGATGCTATATTCCTATTAGAACAAAAATTTTAGGCTATGAGTGAGAGGACTGGTTTTGGATATATCTGTTGATGGTCTGCTCTTGTGTATATTTTTACAGGAAGAGAGTAGTGTGTAATTCCCTCTTACCAGTATCATTTCTAGATTCAATTGAAAGTGAAATGGGTGCTTGAATTTGACTTACATAATGAATAGTCCCAGTGAAAATGAGCATTTTAAAATGAAGTCTCATCTCAGTTGTAAAGCTCCATAAAATCACTGTACCTTACTCTAATTTTATGAATTCTTTTACTCCAGGAATCATCCTGTAGTATTTTCTTCTTTCAGTTGTTTTTCTAGGTTTATGGGTGTTTTTTTCTTTTTTATGTGGCCTCTAACAGATTCTCAATCTTTTACTTTTACCCCTTTACCATCCATGCCCTGCTTCTAGAGATTCCAGGGCCTTGTGGTTTTCTGATACCAGGTAAGGTTATAAGTAGATCTGGAATGGGTGATATGATTAAGAACGGACCTTCTGACCTTCCTTTTGTGTACCTCAAGCAGACTTCTTTCCTAAGACACGCATGTTTACTGTTTGTTTTCCCCTTTGATGAATTTACAGCTGAGTCTTCATGATATATCATTTAACATATTGTATGAACAGTTTTTTTATTTTAAAAGCCTGGGTTTGAGGTCTGAAAATTATCTAACTGAAATGCATTGTACTAAAATCAGTGATTTCAGTAGCAGCTTTAGTATAAGTGTCTCAGTGTAGATACTGATTTTGAGGCCATAAGCAAGAGTGAATAGGAGTTCCTGAGTCATAAAAAGCCAGAGCTTAAAGTTTTTCTTGCAACCGGTTTCTCTAGAAGCTGATTTTGAGCAGGTTTGTGTCATGTTTTTCTTGAAAAATACTAGATGGCTGTGTGTGTGTGTGTGTGTGTGTGTGTATGTTTGTCAATAAAATATGGTTAGTTTTTCACTGTTTACAAAAGAACACTGATTATTTTTTCTTTTATTTTAAGGATTTCTTTCCAGCTAGGGCTTATTCAGGAATATATACGTCTACAATGTGAAAAATTAAACAATAGGTTATGAACCCAATTCTTTTCCATATACAAGTCTTTTAACACATGCAAGCAGAAGGAGGAAAGGAACGGTATAGTGCAAATGAAAATAGGTTCCAGAACTGCCTTTCCATTAGACTTCAGTAAAAATATCTGAAACATTTCCATTTTTTGATCTTACAACTGAAGAATGATAAATCAAAATGTTAATTTTTATTGGATACTACATATATAACAGTTTGAAATAAACACAGCACAAAATCGGATACAATGTTGTTTACTATCTTGTTGAGACTTAGTTTCCCATTTTCTGGCTCTGTTTCAGAAGTGAAATTTAGATTGCTAATCCATTTAAGAAAATAACCTTAGTTACTGAATGTTTTTTAATTCATGCCAAATAATTAGCATTTTATTGCATAAGAAGTAGAAAAGAGTATATGATGTTCAGAATAAACAGTTGAGGCAAGGAAGCACAGACTTCCAGGCTACAGCACAATGTTACAAATTTTTTTTTTAGTATGTGCCTTATTTTTTCCACAGAACCCCTTAATGTACTCTAGCACTAATCAGCAATAGTCTAGAGTACACAGGCAGGATTTTCTATTTGTTAATTCTATGGCGTTTGTTTCAACTCCTCTACCTCTGCTGTTTGCTGTTCTAACAGAAGCTAATCAGGTATAGATTTTGTCTTTCAAAATTAGGTAATGAAGACAAGAATAGTCAATGATCCGTATAGATGGTGGTTTTGGCAATAAGCATCTTATCACAGATTACCATGTTCATCTCTTTGGATTTGCTTGCAAGATGTGACACAGAAGGATACCAGCAACTGCAGATTTAAAAAAAAAAAATAAAAAAAATGTCAACCTCTCCCTGTCTAACACCCCCTACTGAATCCTTACAATCACATGGCTTCCTTCCATGCCAGCTCCTTTAGAATGACTTATCTGAGATTAATTTTGCAAAGAAAAATAAGTAAAGAAAGTTAAGAAATCTAAGTTTAAAAACAACCCAAAACACATACCTCAGTAAAAGTGCCCTGTTAGCTTGGAAAACTTTGTGGCTTATTTTGGGTAAAACCTGTTATGAAGCAATCAGGCAGTTCCATCAGTAGGTCTCAGGAGTTTGGGTTTTGTGTCTAGTTAGAAGAAATCACTGGTTATTCCTTAAAATGTACAAATCACCTGTGGATAACTAAAGGGTTTTTTCGTAGATGAAATCTGAAATCAAGCTGGAAGCAGTAATGTCATCAAGCAATAGAGCTGGAGATAGTAGAGAATGTATGTTCATTCTCTTAATAGCATTTGGCCAAGTCACACCTGTTTTCTCTTACAGTAATCAGTCTTTTGTCTATCACAAAGTGTATGAAAATGAGTAAATATTTATACACAGGTGATTTCTAATTTTTAACAAATAACCAGTGATTTATCTGGTTGTTTGACCAAAAAAAAAAAATTAAAAATTGATGGTTCCTAACTTGAAAATTCACCATGAAGAGGCTGTATTAAAATTGTAAAACAACAGAAAAATAAATAAATATCTAAAAAATATTTATATAATAGGGGTAAGATTTATGTAGGCCAAAGCTCTAAGTCTGGCTTCTGAAACTTAAGATTTTGTCAATATTCATTTCTGAATTCTGTTGTTATAATTAATATAAGAAACTAGACTGCAAGCATGGGTTGCAGCCCTCATTTGCACATAGATTCATGGTACAGTTTGCATTATTTGTGGCTCAACTAATGCAGTAATGCACAAAACTGTGGCTAAATCCATAAGGGAGTAAGGTGCAATATAGAGCTATTTACGGTGAGATAGCTTGGACAATGCAATTTACATTACAGTTCACAGATGTTCAACCAATTTACAGGTAATTTTACCAGTTCATTTTGCCATCTCTGTGTTCCTGCAGATAAAAAATAAATTAAAACAAAAATACATTAAAAATAATGTTCTCAATAACACCATCAAGGGTGGGATTGCAAACTGTGATAGCCCTTTTACTCATAGGCAATTTTTACCCCCTAAAGAAAGACAAAAGCTGAAATTGTATTCTTCATTTTGTTAATAAAAAGGGAAGGTAATTACCATGGATCAGAACTACAGATTTCAGAGAATGGGGATAAGGGAATCACTTTGGGGTCAGCTTCTTTTTTTTTTTTTTAAAATGATAATTAAACCAAAAATCCAACCCCAAATTTATTTGGTCATGTCAAAAAAAGGACAGTCCCACATTCCATTCATATAGAAACACCACAAGGTCTAAAATATAAATTTCATTTTAAAATTTTGTCGTGGTTTAACCTGGGCTGGCCACGGAGCACCACGCAGCCGCTCGCTCACTCCCCCCGCGTGGGATGGGGGAGAGAATCAGAAGGGTAAAAGTGAGAAAACTCGTGGGTTGAGATAAAGACAGTTTAATAGAGAAAGCAAAAGCCGTGCACACAAGCAAAGCAAAACAAGGAATTCATTCACTACTACCCATCGGCAGGCAGGGGTTCAGCCATCTCCAGGAAAGCAGGGCTCCATCATGCGTGACAGTTACTTGGGAAGACAAACACCATCACTCCGAACGTCCCCCCTTCTTCTTCTTTGCCCAGCCTTATATGTTGAGCATGACGTCATATGGTATGGAATAGCCCATTGGCCAGCTGGGCCAGCCGTCCTAGACATACTCCCTCGCAGCCCCCCGCACACCTGGCAGGGCATGGGAAGATGAAAAGTCCTTGACTAGCGTAAACATTACTTAGCAACAACTAAAACATCAGTGTGTTATCAACACTATTCTCGTACTACATCCAAAACACAGCACTATACCTTAATAGGAAGTTAATAGGAAGAAAATCAACTCCATCCCAGCCGAAACCAGGTCAAATTTAAAGCAACATGGCAGATATATCCTGTCAAATATAAATTAATAGTTGTTTCTGACTATCAAATTTGTATTTTTAAGGGCCCGTGGATGTTAATATTCTTGCTAAGTGTAACCCCTGTTTATCAAATCCATGTAAAAATGATGGAACCTGCAACAATGATCCAGTTGACTTCTATAGATGTACTTGCCCATATGGTTTCAAGGTAGGTACCGAATGAAGAGGAAAAAGCTTACTGCAGTAGTAAGCTTCTCCTTAACAACCTTTAAGTTTTATTTAGTTCCCTTCCACTAGTGTCTGTATTTTCTTTTTAAATTATAATTGTTGTTCCCTGCATAGGGTCAAGACTGTGATATTCCCATTCATGCTTGCATTAGTAACCCATGCCACCACGGCGGAACTTGTCATTTGAAAGAAGGAGAGAAAGATGGTTTCTGGTAGGTTGTTTTTAATTGTAATAACAGGATGTAAAACTACTGAGCTGAAATAATTTTGGTGTTAATCTTTGGGTTCTCTGTGTTTGCTGGTGAGTGCACCACAAAGGCAGATTTTCAGTGCTTCTGAAGTTTTCAGAACATGTTGCCGTCCTTGGAAAGCTTCTAAAGCTTTGAAATTGTTAAAAGCAATAACAAATGATTGTGATTAGTTGAGGCATATCAGGTCAAGACAACGTAGTACTGACTCCATTATGCTAATTAATAGCTAGCTAGATCCCTGCTGAAAAAATCTCACAATTCATCTGTTGTCATGTGTATTACTTCAACAGACAGCATGTAAATGATAAAATGTAAATCCCAGTGAAACAGAAAATTAATGATTCATTTGAAACTCACTATGCCAGCAGATAAACATGCTGTGAGCATTTTTAATCTTGAGTTATTTAATCACATAGTACAATTACTCCAGATGTACTTCATGAATTATGAAATAAAGTTCTTTAGCATTCTTATGTGAAATTATTAGTCATTTAATAATCTACACCTCAAGCTTGTTAGAAATGACACTTCAAAAAGATACAATTCATTATCCTGCAATTCATTATGACATTAGTCTTATTTTTTAATCCAAATTCTGCCCAAAGATTAAATAGTTTTCTATTAAAAATTAAGCATATACATCTTAATACTATGCCTCTAGAATTTAAAATGACATAGTCATGTCTCAGAATTTGACCTTTTTCATTTATTTGTTTAAACACTACATATTTTGAAAATCAAAGCAATCTTATAATCAAAGCTGCAGAAATTATAGATAGTGCATATTACACGAAAATGTATGTGTAGTCGTGTTCGAGTGATCTTTTACATTTACTATCTATTTTCATGTATTTGTTTTGTATAAACATATATAAAAGCAAACAACATTACTACTTTGAAGAGTTTATACATGCTTTGTTTTTATATATTAATGCATGTATTGTGCATGGGACGTTAAACAGAGCTTTATATTTGTGCATTTAACTGAATGATAGTGGAATACTACTATTACTAATCCCTGATTCCACAGTCTTTTCCATGTGTTTAACTTTAAAAAAAAAAAGGATCACTTTCCATAAGAAATATAATCTAATCATATTATATAAAGGTAGCACACTTTTCAAAAGGAATGTTCAGTGATTTAATTTAAGAAGCCTCTTAAGCTAAAGATTAAGGCACAAATTTAGAAGCCTTTTTTCTGTAATTTAAAATATGAAAAATAAACATTTATTATATGGTATGTTACATTATATCAACTATGTTCCTTTATGGGATAGTGATTATTAATTATTGTACCTATTAATTACAGAACTTCTTGTCTGGTGTTCCGACCTAAAATGTCCATGTGGTTAGTTTTGTTTTCTGTATTACAGGTGCACTTGTGCAGATGGATTTGAAGGTGAAAACTGTGAAGTAAATGTTGATGACTGTGAAGACAATGACTGTGAGAATAATTCTACTTGCGTGGATGGAATTAATAACTATACTTGCCTTTGTCCACCTGAATATACAGGTAGGAGTATAAGAGAAAGTACAGGTAATTCAACAATTCCTAGCAGAACAGTAATATTTTTCAGTTTGTAGGTGAGTTAGTAGTTACTCTACAATTGACTTAAAGCCAGGTTTCCCTCCATATTTCTCTCCTGTATGGTTTGTAGTCAAAAGTAGACTTAATGCCCACTCATTAATTCCTTTGTTAGTTTTGAAATTACAGCATTTTGATATTTAAAAGATCATTCAAAATGTGTCCCTCCTTACTGTTTACCTAAACCAGACACCCCAATGAAGAACCTCTGTAGCTGTAGAAATCTGAAAAATACTCTGCTTTTATCCTGTATACCTCATGTTACTAACAGGGCAGGAAAGGATCTGTCTGTGCCAGTAGGGAACTGAATTTGGCACCCCTGGATGCTGTCCCCTCTCTGTTAGAAACATTAATGCAGTGTGATGCTTTCTGTTCTAGCACAAAAAAAAAAAAAAAAAAGAAAAAAAAAAGTCTTTAGAGAGTGTGTTATTATTTGTTTCTATCAGTTGGCAGCCAGGGCAAAGCATTCCCTTCTCTTTGAGACAGAGGTCTCCTGCTTGCTGTCATCATCTCTGTGGGAATGGAGGATAGTTAGAACAGCAACACTGGAGAACAAGAAGTAGGATATATTGTTTATATTGATCTGTTTTATAGTTTTTCTAACTAGACAGATCTATTTTCTGTCAGCTAGTTGACCACCAGGAGAACACAGAGCTTAAATTCACAAAACCATGATTTGAAATGCATAGAAAAGAAATGTAAAATCCACCATAACTTAGGAATTAACTCTACTCAGTCATTGTATATCTTTACTTTAATCAATCCTATTGCCTCTGTCCAATGAGTTTTTCACTATCCTCAGGGATAAAATTTGAGCTAATTTTGAGCTAAATTTGAGCTCTGGAAAACTGGGAGGAGAGGTGAACTCCTGAATTAATTTAATTTACTGAAAAAAATTTAATTTACTGAAAAGGAGCTAACTCCTTTTTAATCCAAGGTATTTTTATCATTAGTTCTACAACCTATCGGATTCTCAAATGTTTTAGGGTATTCAGATTTAAAGTCAATATTCAAATCTTGGAAACCCACAGTGAGTGAATATGATAGAACACAGGTATAAGAAATACAACTTCGTAATCTAATATATGTATTCATCCAGTACTTATGCTGGGTAAATGTTTGGTAGAAATTTCCTCATATAGCATAAGCTACAATACCTACAGCAATACAGGTTAAAAGTATAAGTAGCCAGAATAAGGTATTTAATAATAAGTGGATCGTCCACATATGGAAGAACAGACGTAATCTGCTGCTTAGACAAAATACTGTTTTGCCAAGTCCTGGTACCTTAATACCTAAGAGCAATTGACAATTCAAGCCTTAGAAACAAATAATAGGTAACAGCATCAGTAAGTAGAGACAGGTGTTTGCTATTTCTTCTATAACTATATTTCAGCTATATGTGAGTAAAGCTTCAGCTCCTCTGGTGTCAGTTGCTTTCTCCTTTAAAAACATGATCAGATATTCTACTGTGTAGGCTGGAAGAAAGCAAACCAAAGTCACATCAGTCCAGTATTCCTGTTCATTGGCTTCATGCCAAGAGGTTTCATCTATCTATTAGATAGTAGACAATTCATTTGCACGTGCATTCCTCCTCTGCAGCTTTGCAGGTGTTTTTACCTGTGTCGTTCATTTCTTCATTTTCGACATTGCTCTAGATGCATTTAACTGCTCGAGTCAATAGCTTGTTGTATTCACAGTATGCCATTGGAGGGACTGTTTTGTATTAAATATCCATGGAGTGGATACAAAGGCTTGTTTATATGTGCTAGCCTAAAACTTTGATTAGGTGTGCCTGTTGCATTTCTGTAGTATTGTAATTGAAATGTACTTTTTACGTTTACAATTGAAACAGCAATTGTAGCATTTCTTTATACATCTGTATGGTTAGAGCAAAAAGGAGAGCATAAACATTGGTAACATTTTTGATGTTTGTATTGCAGCTGTGCTGCTTCTGTCAAATACAAGAAAGTGTATCTTTTAATTTGATTCATAATTGTGCATAATTCTAAAAGGAAAATACTATGAGTTTACATGACAACTGTTTTTGCTTGCTAACTGTAATTCTTTCAGAAAAAGAGATTTGCTTTTACAGATGCAATGCCTACTCATAATCGCTACTGAAGTCAGTAGGTCATGTGAGTAGGTGAGAGTCTTCTCACCAGCTGTAAAATAAATCAAAACAATCTACTTGTAATCAGTAAGTTTAGCTGTTCTGCTTTTTAAAAAATGTTGAGAATTTACACTATCTCGTCAGATTTTTTTCAACACCTTACCAAAAACAGACACATGTATTTTTTTAAATGTACAACACCAGTGCCTCAACTCATTTTATAGATAAGTTGGGCAAAAATTGTAGCAAAAGTTCAGGTTTTTCATTCCACGGGATACAGTACATAATTCCACAATATACTATCTATCTTGCAAAGCATCTGAGAATAGGAAACAATGCGTGAGTCATAAGTCATTTTTGAGATTAATTGTAAGGAGAAAATATAAAACATTGAGCTAGTTGAGGGGTCTTCACGTCCATCATCCTTGATCTTGCAAAATAATTAAATAACTTTCAGTGTTAAGAATTAGACTGACAGTAGTCTGGACACATCAGGATCTAGACATGGTAGTGTTCAGAATATAAAGTAATCTTACAGTTGCATCAAGTGTGTATGAGGTACCAAATTATTTGTAGGATTTTTTTTTTCTCTGGCCTATAGCCTGATTTGAAAGATAAGTAACAGAATCCCTGTCCAGTATGGATACAATGATTTTCATGAGGAACTTTGTAAGCATTTGGATTTTGTATCTGTTCTAATAGGTTAAAATCAGATATGCATATTGCTACTGTGTTTTTTTATGAAAGGTATTTTTCACTAAATTAATTCATGTACTAGCTGGGCAAAAGTAGGTTAACGATCAGGAAAACAGGCTGTATATTCAGTAGGTAAAAAGATTTTTAAATTCAAAGATACTTACTTCTAGCTCAGAAAGTCCCTGAGCTGTAAATTGCTGGAGACTGGGACAGTATACACACCAGGAAAATACCACCGTAGGCTTGTCCTGTTCTCTTTTAATTCCGTTGGCAATACTTCGAATTGTCTGTGTTCAAGATGTCACAGCATATATGTACTGAATGTGGAAATGCACCAGCCCATTCTGGGTGAATGGTTATCTGCAAATATGCTTTACATTTCAGTAGCACAGTATAAGGAAGAAGTTAGCTGAAACCTGGTGGTATGAAATATAAATCATTCTTCTTTAAAGTTTTATTTTCATGTGGAGGGCTTGTTAGAATCTCAAATTAACTCTGAAAATACATACAAAAACTACCAAAAATGTTGTAAAGAATGTTGCAGTGCAAAACCAAACAGTCACTTTTTGACTTTTCTAACAATCCCTTGAAAATTGACATTTCTCAAGTACACAGTGTTGATTTAAAAACAAACAATTAAAAAAGCTTATTATTTTGTGGCTTAAGAATCAGGAGTCTGTTTTTCTCTGCCTCAGTTAAGTTTTACAGTTACCTCCGCAGTTACAGGTGGAAAGACAAAGAATGGTATTTGCACTATACTATGAGCTTTCTTAAGATCACAGACTGTAATTCTGAAACAACAGTAAGCAAATGGAATCAGTGGACACTCGGAGTGTCTAATGAAACATTGGGAAATAAAACATTTGAAATACCTCACTATGTCCTGCACTCTTTAACCTCACTATTCTCTTGACATTATCATCTCCTTTATTTTAACTTCAGTCTAGTAAACTTCAGGTCATTTTGTGTACTTTCTATAGATTACAGATGATCATTTCTCTTGCTCATTATCATCAGTCATTAGATCACAGATCTAACTGATCCAGAAGTAAAACCTTTCTTATGCCACCAGTGGCATGTACTTCTTACCTTTTCTGTTTGTTTTGCTCTGCTGTAGGTGAGACTCTGAAGCTTGCTTCATTTTGCTATATCAACCTCTCTGCTGCTATAGTTGTGCATTAGCTTAATGTGCTATGCTGTTGTATTACAATGTAAAAAGTCTCTTGTCTCTTCTGTCTTTGTCACTGCAAGCTGCTAATCTGAATGAAGTGGAAAAAGGTCAGTTGTCTTTTAAGCCTATTTTCACTTACTTTGGTTTCTCACTTTCCTTTCCTTAAAGGTGCATGGATTTCAGTTCTTACAAATGATCAAATAAATCGTATATAGATATAATTTAGAAAGCTCACTGCAAATCCTCAAATTAGGCACTTGGCTTTTACTGTGAATACATGCCAGAAGAATGCCGTTGAAGATCACTGTGCAGGAGTACTTTAATACTACCTTCATTGTCTTTTTTTCAGATGTATTAAAAATTTGTGCAGCCACTGATAGGACTAACACAAAACGTTTACATGGTGATCCTCTGAAATCTTTGTTCTTATCACCTTAAAGACATACCTTGGTTCCATTCTAATGTATTCTCTGTTTTACAGCACTGTTTTGCTTTCTTTTCTTTGTTAGATTATGGTACTAGAAAATATGCTGGAGTGTAAAATGGCAATCTTCTTGCTCATCATTTCTGTGGCCTTTTTTTGCTGTAAATATCTATAGAATCTGAAATGACCACATTTAAGCTGAGGCTATGGTACAAGAAAGGTAATAGTGGAGGGATTTATGACACTAACTTTGGGTATTCCTGATTTTTAATTTTTTTTTTAAGTTTCTGCCTAACACCTGTCTCACTAACAGAGATAAACCATCTTCTGTACAATCTGATCAACTACACAATCTGAGAGCTAACATAATCATGACAACATATTTATGAAGTTATATATTTAGTTTTAAAAGCAAATTAATCATCTTGTGTATTTGACATTAATTTAATTTGATAAATATATTGTGCAGTCTATAAAGCAATATAATATTTCACTAGTAATAAAAATATTTTCATTATCCATGA